GAAATGCCCTGGGAGAGACGTCGATGGCTCAGGTGTGAGAAAGTCACGGAGAATCTGCATGGTCTGAGTTTTGGCAACACATGGTCGAGAGGAGCAGTGGCCACAAGTCGCTTTTTGGCACTTGAAAAGAATCAGCTGCCCTTTGCGTTTGTCCATGTGGTTGTGAAGGAAAAGATTCTCTTGCTGAAGATTACGATGGTCACGGAGCTTCTTTGCGGAGGCATTGATTATTTGCTTTACCTCATGGTAATCACCATAAATTCCCCTCCCTGTGCCACTTTAGACATGGGATACTGTCAACGGCTGTTGACAGTATTTGACACTGCAGAGGTAGCGTTCGAGGCGTCCCATAGCCAAGTTAAAAACTTGATGCTCCTTCTGAAGCTTCTGGTCTTCAGTCAGATCAGTTCGGGAGCATGGTGGGCGGTCCTCTCCTGAAATTAAAAAGGAAACGGATGGTTTATGGAAATGGACCCGCAAAATCTCGACAATTATTATAACGCCTCTACATGATGTGTATTACACATTGTGAAACAATTTTCCCGTCAAGTAGGACATGCAAAAATATTGGGCACATTCATCTCAGTTGTCCTTAACTGGTTCAGTTGATGTTTACTCTGTTAGTACTTTTTCCACAGCAACGAATTTTCATTTTAATGGCTTAATGAAATAGTGGTTTGTGCATTTCCATAATGACAACACGCAAATGCCGGGTACCAGTCAGACGTCGCAACCATGGAGTATATATGCATGTTATGTAACTAGTTAGAAAGGGGGTGAATTTTGATGATACAGATAATTAGTTTATTTGTAAATATAGTATATATCTATTGCTGCCAGGTAAAAACTCGAAACAGGAAAAGCAAACAATCACAGCAAGACAAACAAATATTTAATACCTGGAAGTGTGTCAAAAAGGTACACTGATGACAGCGCTTTGGTGACCTGTCCCCAGAGCCGTTCAGTGGGATTGAGGGATGAGTACCCGGGAGAATAAGATGTGACGACGAGGCCATCCAGATTGGTGTCCCTAAAAAGGCGACCATAGAAGATTTCTTTGGCTGGATGGTTGATGTTGTAATCACATCCTCCATCGACGATGAGAACGAGGATGGTCTTCCTTGCAGCTACCATGCCATGGACCATCTGAAGTACGTCCCCGATGTGGGTTTCAATGGTCACCTCGTCGTGTGGCCCTCTGTTCACTAAGAACGATGGCCCGACCTCTGGATGCCTGTAGAAAGATTAAAATTGCCGTTTAGATCATTTTTACATCTATGGCAATGGTCACTGGGTTTTGAATACCAGGAAACATTGCCATTTAGTGGCATAACATCATCACATCTTCATTGTCTGTATTAAAGTTTTGTCCTTTCCCGCCTTCTCGCATTTTTACTGCTTATTCTTTTAGGAATACACTTCCCTCTCTGTCGTCGCCACGTGAATACCAAATTGTCATGCGATTATATTACATGTTCTTAGAATTTTTCTTCTCTTTCTCTTTGATATAGATCCTTTATATATAACGGGTTTGCCCTTACCCAACGTATATTAATAAACACTGTATGCTCAGTGCTTGTCTGAGAGCTTGCGAAAAAAACCTCACAAGCTTACTCGGGTGGGACTTGAACCC